GCAATAGTCCATACACCAAGAAGCCTGATATCGGTGGTGGTGGTAGTGGTGGTGGTGGTGGTGGTGGCGGCGGTGGAAGCAGAAACCGTTACGTCGGTGACTGTACTGGCCTGGCACGCAGTCAGTCGCATGTAAAAGAATGTTTACCAACTTGCAACAACCTGGAGACATCTCAGTCTGCCTCCTCAGCCTCGGGCCACAGGCTAACGAGCAGTTTGGGCCATCTGATTGCCACTCGTGAAATGAGGCCTCATGTTTGGCCTCGCCTTAACGGCCGAACATCATTTACATGCAAGCCAGCCGCCGGAGTGGCACCTTTAGCTCGGCTGACAACCTCCCCAAATGGACTTGGTCTGGGCGAAGTTGCTGAAATGACGCCGGCTACTGTCACATCCGCCAGTGAACCCGAGTCGAATCGAGGCGAGTCAAAACCGGCTGTGGACAGCCAAAATTCCGTCGGGGGCAGATCGGGCACTCTTGTCTCTGACGACTCGATGCCGAGCGAAGAGGTCGGTGTGGGAAGATCTTCGGGCTCAGTGGCTGAGTCATGCTCTCCGCAGTCGGAGAACACGTCTTCCCTACAGGTAGGTTGATGAGCAGCCTGAGCACGAGTTCAGGATAGGAAGAGTCTAAAAGAGACATTGGTCACAGAAATGCTCGAACAGGGGAAAGTTAAATACGAGAGCTTAGTAGCAAAAGTTAAATAACTAGAATGGCCATACAATTTGGAGGAGAATACCTTTTGGGAAAGGAAGACTATGTGAAATGCAATGGAAACATAAGGTCTACTCATAGCATTGTCACCCTAAACTGAATAGAGTAAATATATATCTTTGGTATTAAGTCTCCTGATAGTCTCGAAAAATACTTACCGTATTTTTCGGCGTATAAGGCGACCCCCTGACTTTTCCTGTTGAAATATAGATTTTGTAAGGAGGAAAGGGGCACAACAGGAGCTCGGAACCATATTCTAATTAGCGATCCCTAAGCTACACTCGGCGTATAAAACGACCCCCACTTAGGAGCAGAAATTTATGGTGTGAAAAGTCGTCTTATACGCCGGAAAATATGGTACTTATAAAAATAAGTAGCCTAGTCGATAGTAATAGCAAATACTACTTTAATCAAAAGCGTGAAGACCAAGAAGAATTGGCCCTTGTTGGTTAGATACATGGATGACTATTTTGTCATCTGGCCTCATGGTAAGGAGAATTTAGACAATTTCCTATTTTCACTGAACCAGCGTGAAAGAAACATTAAGATTCACGATGGAAATGGAAGAGAATAAGTCCTTACCTTTTCTGGACGTTCTCATCATTAGAGAAGAGGGTAGGTTATGAAGAGATGTTTATAGAAAGCCAACATATGTTGACTCTTTGCTTAATTTTCTTTCCAACAATAATTACAAGACTAAGGTTAAAATTTTGAAATAAATGATTTTTAGAAGTATGAGGCTAGCAGATAGCAAACATTTGACTAAAGAGTTGGAACGGCTGACACATATAATCCTAGAAAATAATTATCCTTTAGGCCTTATTGCAAATAATATCTCTTTACTAAGAGATAAATTTTCAGACGGTAACCATTTAGTCAAAGAAAGACAGACTAAGACATTTTCCCAAGTCCTTATTTATCGTCATTCTTTCTCTCAAAAAAGATAGTCGAATTATTAAAGAAGTAGGGCATTAAAACAGTGTTCAAAGAAGCCCTCACACTTTCTGTTATGCCATTACTTGAAAAGAAATATGAACCATTCTCGAGATCCGGCTGCTACAAGATTGTTTGCTCATGTGGTAGATGTTATGTTTGTGAGACATGCCGACTTATTCGAAAAAAAGATTGGTAGAACACAAAAATGCTTACAAAGGTG